TTTTGATTTTCTTCTTAAATCTGTTATCACAGAGGTGTTACCAGCCTTCCTAATTGGCCCAGCTTTGGCCAGCGTCATGTCCATCTTCAGAGCCATCAGCCATTGGCTCTGCTGGACATGGTGGAAGCTTCCAGCATCTTCTCACAGAAGCCACCTCTGTGGCCCCCCGGCTACCAAAAACCAGGCCATGCAAATCCGGCACACTACGAGTTATTCAAATAACTTTCCTTGTGAACTGAACTATTTCCTGTGGATAATGCACTGTTTTGCTACCTGCTGCAGAGATAGAGTCCCCCTGAATGCCTAATGCCTGTGTAGTGCTGCTCTGCATGACTGGGAACAGTCTCCTGATCACAGTGTGAGACAGGAAAGCTTGGACTTAGCAGTTCTGTGAGATTTACAAATCATAACAGCTAATCAAGATTTAAAGCAGCTCTGGACTGAAAAGGCTAGCAAGTGGTCCAGCTGTGAGTTAATTCATTAGTAGCAGTAAATATCACTGGAAGAGCTTGTCAAAAGGAAATGTGAAGCAGCTGAAAAGAATCGTCCTTAAAGTGAATGTCAGAGGTTTTTGCAGCTGTCATCCAGTGGACTGGAGACTCTGGGCATTGGAGAGAAAATGAGGGTGAAAGACATAAAAATTTGAGTACAGAGGATAAAGTACCAATTCCCACTGAGTGATTATAAAGGAAGCAATCTCACCACTACAGGGACCTAATTAGAGACTGAATCTCACAACCATCACAGCATTCTGAGAACCCAAACCAGTGAACACAGCCCGCTCTGAGCAGCAGCAGGAGGAGGCTCTGCTGCCTCAGCAGCACGATGCAATATCACGTTTGTGTAGCTGGGGGCATTTCCAGTGTCCTTGTGTTCTGCTCAGCGATCACTTGGGTCCAAAGGAGCCACATCATTTTCCTGCATGCCAGCACAGCATTGTCCTGGTCCTACAGAAGGCAACAACAGGCTTCCACTGCCACATACCTGAGCATCCCAGAGGAAAGGCACCAGGACCCTTTTCCCCCAGCAAATATAAGAGTTAATTGTCAACATTAACAAGACAGATTTTTGCATTTCTATGACTGGTCTGATAAATCACCACTTTTCTTGCTCTCCTAAATGTGCAGATCGATGTGAGTCCTCAGGCCTCCCTGGAGACACCAGTGCTGTCAGCCAGAGGTTGCATGTATGGTTCACTCAAGCCTTGGTGCAGGGCTCAGCTCCACCTCACTCCAGCTATTGCCTGTCTGAGACACTGTCACCCTTCCCTCCATCTTTGTGGAAATATGGAAACACTGGCTTTAGTTTGAAGCCAGCCTTTGGCAGCAATGCCCACTCCTGCTCTAGCCGCTCCCTCCTACCCCTGGGTTGCAGTGCATTGCATAATCATTGGTATGCCAAGCAGGGAATTCTCTGAGTTGGGTCTTTTCTTTGTCTGGTGATAATTTCTAAGCAGCAGCAAGTTTTCACTGGATTTTATTTATGACTGGGTCATTCTGGGTGCTGGTCCTTGGCACTTCCCTCCTGGTGCCAGGAAGGACTGTTGCCTGAAGGAGCCATGCTCTGGGGTGGGTGAGCAGCAGGGTCAGCAAGAAGGAGTTCTTGTACCTGTTATTGGCAGGAAAGGCACTTTTAATGTAACCCTGTGAGGGTTGCAGGGATTTCTACCATTATGACTACTACTAGCAATGACATTTTTCTCTAGCAGGATTTTCCAGGCATAGGGAAGGAAGCCTTCTGAGACAACTTGGGCAGCTCAGGGAAGAGAAGGGATAACTGCTCAGGATGCACAGATGTATCATGTTTGAGGGGCAGTAGTTTATGGGTCTCCTCTGGAGCTGGTAGGAGATAGGTGACCTGCCCAGAGAGAACTCAGCTGACATCTGACAAGGACATTTTCATAGCCAAGATAAACAGATGCCTTTCGTTTTATTCCAGGGAAGGCAAATTACTGGCTGAAGGTCAGGCTAAACCTGACAAGCCTAAACCACTTCATTTGAGGTTGTTATTTCTTTGGGTCAATATGAAACATTTCTAGCATTTATTTTCCATTTTTGGCCATCACATGCTGCTGTTTTCACTCCTATGTATGTTTTCTTCTCTAACATTTCAGATCTTCTCTCTTGTAGTATTTAAAATCCTTATTTGACTGATGCTGCAGGTGGAGAGTATTAGTTACCTCCTATGACCACTCTGGCCACAATGACTTCCTTTGCTTGACAAGATGATTACTTTGTCAAGGTGAATGTTAAGTCTGCCAGGAGCATCTCTGTATGTCTTGTGTAAGATTGAGGTTGCAAGCTGGTTTCTTATTGGGCATGCAGTTTCTCCAGACACAGAATACCTCTGAGGGAATATTTTCCCCCTCACTTTCCTCCTGAGAGTGATGTTGCTGCAGTTTATGCAGTAAGATTTAGATGGCTGTATCTCTGAATTTGACAAGCTAGTGGATGGCAAGCAAACCCAACCGATGAAATTCCATTGATAAAGAAAATTCTCATCCTAGCAACTACCCAGAAAAGTCCACAAGTAGAGATTAGGAGTTAATAACAACTGCACCAAGTCTGCCAAAGCTGCTTGGGATGTGACCAACAGACACTTCTGTGGAGCCAAAGAATCACTGCAGTGCCTGCTCCTGCTGCCCTTCCTCAGCAGGTTTGGAAAAGCACAATCCCAAGAGGGTGATGGGGCTGATGGGCTCCCCAAAGTACCAGTTACAGGCAGTAGGGATCAGTCAGGGCCCTTTGTGACAGCTTTGCAAAAAATGGCTTAACACTGTGTGGACTCATTAAAGTAGGAAAGAAATTTCCTGTCACCTGTCACTGGGGTTGGTGTCTCAGATTGCTGCTGACACGGGAGTCCATAGCCCTGCTTCACAGAGCCAGAGCACAGTGCAGGATCCAGGTGTGTCTCTGCTTGCCAAAGTGGCTGTAGGCAGGACCAAACTTTGCCATGCACAACCCACCCAGGCATTCAAATAGTCATATCCTGCATGATCCCTAAAAGAGGCCAGATAGAACTGCAGCAGGGAAGCTGTAGCATAAGTAGTGCCTTCAGATTGTCCATTGGATATAGTTGAGACACAAGAGCAAAGCTCAAGTAAATGAAATGCATTTCTTAGCAGTTCCTGAGAGTGAACAGGTTGTGTTGTTTGTGAGCTGCAAGCCACATCAAGTGGGGTTGGTCTTCCACAGAGAAATTGCTGCCTCTGGCCCCAAAATATCATTGTAAGAAGGTAAGAAAAACATCCAAATTTCTCTTAATTTTTTCTAGATGGTACATTATGAGCAACTGGCAGTCAGACCACTACAGATAGTAAGAATTCAGGAAACATTACTAAGCAACACAAAGAACAGAAAACAGTGTGTATTTTCTGAGAAGATTGGGGAAAAAGTCCTGTGTCACTGAATGCTTTGGGAAAATAAGTCCTAATAGCTACAGTAGCCAAATATCACCTGGGGCCAGCATGTGAACAATTCTTTTGTAATATTATTTGGCAAATGTCTCAACATCTTGAGCTTATTGCAGAATAGAAAAGAAAATGTTGGCCAGTGTTGTTTTCTGGTGGTACAGGAACAATAATTTCTCTAAGCGTGTGTGGTGGTATCTGACCATACCTGAGGGGGCAGGTCAAAGGAAAGCAATGTGTAGATGTGGTTTTCAAAGGCACCTGTTTCCTCATTTACTGCTAGGAATAAATTTCTTCCTGGCATATTGTGAAAGAAATAGTAAAATAAACAAAAGGATGGTATACTTTGTAAGATGAGGCAAACATTTGTAAGGTACTTTGTAAGATGAACCTCAGGGCTACACTGCCCACAGGCAAACCAGCTCTGGGTGCTATGTAAGCACTGAGGGCAAACCCTCGGCTGCTCTTTTCCCCAGCAGATGCTGTCCTGGGGCTTCTTTCCTCACGGCAGGAAGGAGAAAAAGCAGCTTTTACCATCCAAGTGCATGACATTCCTGCTCCTCCTGGGTGGTTGTTGGAACCCAGGAAATTCCTCTGGCTGCCCTGGAGGACTCAAGACCCTGACAGGGGGCTCGGGGACCTTGGCACAGAATCAAAAACACCTGTGCCTTCAATTTTAGCCCTTGGAAAAAACAATTACCAACCTTATATGAGGATTCACAAGCCACAAAGTTTAAGTAGAATGATAGTTAGTTTGTTACAAGATAGAGAAGTAGAATTTTGAGGTTTTAGAATGGGAGTTCAGAAGCCAAGATGGAGGGATTTGGGCATGCCTTGTCCTTCTTCTTTCTTCTTAGCCTCTATCTTCTGGGTGATGTTGGCACTTTTGGATTGGTTTAGAGTAGAAACACACTGTCTAACATGGGTGATAGGTATTTGGAAATTATTGTAAATAATGTACGTGTATTTTTTAGTATAAAAAATAACACTGCCCCTGAAGGCGGTCAGTGTGCCTCGGACCAACCTGCTAGACAGACCTCAGCAGGTCAGAAAAGGAATGTCATAGATAACAAAGAATAAACAACCTTGAAAACAGAACAGAAGAATCTTGACTCCTTCCGCTGCTGGGCTGGGAAAAGAGACTCTCTGACACATCTCGGGGTTATGTTGACCACAGAGACCCCCGAGAGGTGGAAAAGAGAGGGAGCTCTTCTCCCCCTCTGCCTGCGAGGGAAGCGCTGGCAATTGCTGTGAGGGGCAGCAAGCTGTCTCGGGGCAGACCTTGTTCTCTGCAGGGACCTGTACCCGGCCATTCCCTGCCCTAGACCAGTGTGCCGGGATGCCCTGGCCTGCCCTTCCCACGCCCGCCTTTTCTGTAGCTCCGAGCTCTGCCCCTCGCTGTCCTTGGGAAGGCAGAGGTGGGGGAGCAGAGGGTCTGCATCGGGGGTATCTCCTTGTAGGAGATGAAGAAGGCGCCTCTGCCGTAAGGGCTGCAGGCAGGAGCAGGCACCAGCCTCCCTCTGCAGTCGGCAGCGCTCTGCCTCTCTCGTTGTTTATTATCTGACGTCTGTTTTGGTGTGTTTCCCTGCAGGCCGGGAGCCAGGAGGGCTGGCGCTCGGGACACCTCCTCCTGGTGCGCTGCCAAGGACGGTGGCCGTGTCCTGCGGCCAGGGCGGTGGCCCCGGGCACTCGGCATCCGTCCTGCGGCTCGCCGACCCTCCCCTCGAGACCTACTTCTGCCGGGACAGGCAAGGTAACTCGCTCTGAAAATAGCTGGGACGGCGGCCAGCCGAGATTAATGCCTTCATTAACGTCCCCGGTTTATTTATAGGCTTAAAAATGCCTTGGACCTGCAAACTGAGCACAGTTGCTCCGTGGAAGGCAGGGAATCACAGGTCTCCTGCTTCTGCCTTTCCCCTTCCTGCTATTTCATTCTGATTGCTGGGACTGTAAAACCTCTGGAGCAGGCACTGTTTCCCATTGTGAAGCTACTTTGTAAACCTTCCTAACTGAAGGGACACACACAGATACTCTTTTTCATTCTTTCTTTTTTTTTTTTGTCCCAAGAATGATGTATTTGTCTGGTCTCCTTCCTCTACCAACTTCTTTTTGTGTGCACACTGTGTCCTGTAGCCCTCTTGGAGAAAATTCTCTTTTTGATGAATTCCTGAGGCAAGGACTGAGCAGCCATCACAGGAATTAGTGATTTCCTACCTTGGGTTTTAAACTGTGAGCTCTGTGGAAGGAAGACTGAGATTCTCATGGCTGTGGAGAGCATGGAGAGCACTTAGGACATGTAGAGCCCTAGTGAGAAATGCAGATGCAATTAGTGATCGTGCAGGTCTTCCAACAAAAGCAGCAGAGCTAGCCCAGGACCCAGGTCCTCCAGGAGCCTCATGGGACTGGTGAGAAAAGAAAAAACCATCCCAAGTGTGTTGGCCCCAGAAGAGGAGATTTTGGCTTGTAACCTGTGGCCATACTGCCTGGCCTGTTTCCCAGAGGTCAATGAAAGGTAAGTGAGAAAGACTTGTTATCAGCAAGCACAAATCCAAGGGATAGGCTGTCTGACTGAGAGATAGAAGGCTCCATGAGTAGGAGGAAAAGGTAAAAATGCATGTCCTCACACCCAGAAGCATGGCAGCTCATGGAAGTGAGGTTGTTTCAGAGGGCAGCCACCCTTCACTTCACTATTGCTTTTTTGTTGTATCAATCTGAGATAAACTCCTGTGTCAGTCTCCCCTTGGCCCTCATCTTCTAGGGATGAAATAAAGAGCCAGCAGAGAACCACTCAAACCTCTGTTGTCTTAATTTTCCCTCTGAGAAGTGAGAATACTTCAGAGCAGAATGAGCCCAAAATGGTAGAATGAGGGTTTCTGTGCCACTACAGGTGAAGCCACAACCCTGGGATTCCCTCACCCTGCCAGCAACTGGTGGTTTTGGGGCATCTTTGGGCCTTGCTTTCTCCTTACTCTCTTTCCCACTTGGATTCTTGGCTCCAGATCTCCTCCATCCCATCTTGGCCAGGCCCCAGCTCTCCTGGGATGGGGCTGTGATGAGGATGGGATTGCCTGCTCACATCTCACTTTCCACATCTGTTAAACGGGACCATGACACACTAACTTTATATGGAAGTGTTCCAGGCCAGGTTGGATGGGGCTTGGAGCAATCTGGTCTAAAGGAAGATGACCCTGCTCATGGCAGGATAGTTGGAACTGGATGGTTTTTAAAGCTCCTCCCAACCCAAACCGTTCTGTGATTTTCTACAGTCCATGGAAGGGTAAAAGCGGACATGCAATTGTTCAGCCATCCAAAGATGATAACTGGGAGAATATTTCTATGCCTGTTATACATGAGATCTTGTGTCATTTTAAAAGCTTCAAAGAAAAGACAAGTCATGTGCAGCACCTGAGACAAAGGCAGGAAGGGGGGAAAGAATTGTGTGTAACTGTATTCTATTTATTCTAGGAAAGAGACACATTTTAAATTGTGTCTCATCTTAATTCCTGAACATCTGACCAGAAAAGCCGGTGCAGCTTTCTCACTAGACAGATGTCAGACTAGGGGAGTGAGTCTTGTGACAAGAGACCATCTGCATCTCAAACTGATTACCTGCTTTGAAAAGTGAAAATAAGAAGTAGAGGTTTTGGGTTTTTTTTAAACAAGTTGGCTAAACTTCATTTCAGCTCTGGGACACCCATCCCTGAATGCTGGTGCTATCCAGCTTCTATAACATTACTCACCCTGATATAGAAAGCAAGAGCTGTTTTTTTTCCTGTTTCACTGGGCTACACCCAGTTGTAACCATATTTAACCTTCCTTTTTCTAGCTGCCAACACTGGGTGGCACTAAGTAACTCCTTCTGACATTTTACAAAATTGACTCTAAAACCTTGAATCACACCGATTTGGCTCCACTCTGTCTTCACAGCAAATGGTTTTGTTTGAGAAACTTCAGATCATATGGTTGTTGCATAGAAACATCTGACTTGCATGGCATGTTTTGTACTTCCCTGGTTTGTTAGGTTGTTAAAACTCTCATGAAACTCTGGCCTTATAGCCGGGTAAAGGTTCAATGTGCTGTTGGACTTGAAAGCCAAATTTCCTGTGTTGAGTCAAGAATTTATGGAATACTTGAATATATACACCTGAATATCCAATCTGTGCTTTATGACAGAGGTTTAAATAAGTCTCACTGAAAGGCTGAGGTTGAAAGGCACCTCTGGAGATCACCTAGGCCAAGTCCTCTACTTAAGCAAGGTCAGCCAAAGCAGGGTTAACCAGGTGATCCCCAAAGGGTTCCAGGAGCATGTTGCCAGCCCCAGAGTTTCCTTGTCAGTCTCTAACCAGAGCCTGGACACTGCCATGTGTGCTGGCCACCACTGCCAGCTACACTCTGTAAAAACCCTGCTAAAATAAATCAGCTTTAAAATAAACACCCCCACAAACACATGGCAGTCACCCCCACTGGCTGTGCTCACCCTACAAGCACCCCAGGCACCCTTTAACCAGCCTGTCCAGTGGGCTCTGGGAGATGCTGGTGCGTATGGTGATGGAGGTGACAAAAGATCAGCGCCAAGTGGTTTGTCCTCAGAGGACACCCAGGTCTATGAGCAGCCTGACCTGGTGGCCATGCCCATGATGGAAGGTTGGAACTAGATGATCTTTAAGGTCCCTTCCAGCTCAAGCCATTCTATGATTCTGTGGCTTGTGACCATTGTCAGCTACGCCACTGTGGAGCCCACTGCCATGTGCTGGTAACAAACATAACCATTGTTGTGCATGTACCTGCCCCTAAGAAGGTGTTTACATTCTAACAGAGAGCAGATGGCATAACCCGATAGGCTCATAAAGATGTGTGTCCTGAAAGGAGGACATAGAAACACCAATGATAGTAGCTGAAAATGCTCAATACAGAAATGAAGTGAGCAAGTCTTGACAGACTGGCCATGGCCATTCTGACAGCAGTGGGAGAGGTGCAGCTGAGGAAGAAGCTGCCCAGGGTGAGAGATGGTAACTGCTGAAGGTCCTTGATGTCCCCCAGCAGAAGAGCAGGCAGAGGGTGAGACCATCTGGCTACTACATTGGAGCCAGGGCAGCACGGATCCTACATGAAGCAGTACCTGCAGTACCCCTTCCCTCTCCTGTGGCAGTGGGAAGGGGGTACAAGTAAAGCCAATGATGTCTGAAGAACAGCTTACTCCCTGAAAAGCACAGCTTCTGGTTGACTGAAGCTATCTGCCAATTGGTGTGCAACCATTCATCAGAATTAGCCCCAAAAATTAGAAACATAAAAAATGGCTTGCTTTGTTGGTTTGAGGTTCCTTTTACTTGTTTTTTGAAGATGATCTCAAAAGGAAACCTCAGCTGGAGCGAGGATTTACCCAACACGCTGTGTCTTCAGAGTGTGGCCAAACCACAGGACAGCCTGCAACGGGGCTCTCCTAATCCTCTTGCTCAGGGTAGAATTATTTACTCTGTTTATTGGACCAGACAGAGCAGGAACACCAGCAGGACTAAACTGCCTGCTCCAAAGAGCAGGCCTGGGATCTGGTAGCTAGTGGACAATAGCAGTTGTTTCAGAGTAGCATTTGCTGCTCAGGGCCAGCCAACAAAAAAGAGGCTGAATTTGACAGCATAGCATGGCACTTGACTCCAGCTTAGCTTGGCCCTGTGTGTTGGGCTTACGGACCTAAGTGCAAACTAAAGTATTGTTGTAAGTTTGGTGGTTTTTTATCCCAGTATAAAATGCCCAGAAGATGATGCTATAGCTCACCAGTGCTGAATTCCAGAGGGTGTGTAGCATGGTCTGGATTGAGGCATGAGAGCATTCAGGAGAGCTGGAGGATGGAAAGGCTGGTAAGACCATGCTGGAGGAACATCCTGAGGGAAATGAGACAGAGCTTGTTCATGTGGCTCTTGCAAGTTGTCCCAGGAGTATCCATGCCCAGAGAAGCGCTGCCTGGTGGCTGGAGGGAGCTGCTTGTCCCAGTCCAGAGGACAGCATAGGTGTGTGCTGACCAACACCATGGGAACAGTCAAGGATGAGGACCCAGAGTCAGCTGGGGAGCTGTGTCTGACATTGTAGGCACATCTGACAGCTATAGCTACATCACCAGCAAAGAACAGATGGACTCCAGCCCTGGATTTGTGCTCATTGTCTGCTGGGCTCTCTGCTAACTCTGAGCCTTTGGTGTGGATCACTCCAAGTAGCAGCTGCCAAGGTAAATGTTCTCCTTGGGAAGCAAGCTCTAGGCACGGTGCCTGCGAGCCCAGGGGTGCCACTCTGCCCTGGCCTTTGTGCTGAGCAGTGTGGGCACAGCAGGGCACAGCCAGTCTCCTGCCTCTTTGTGCTGCATCTCCATGTGCCTCCAGTGCTGCCTGGCACACTGGGTGTGATATTGCTTCCAGGAAACCTTTTTTAAAATATTTTCCACATGAGAAACAGAAGGGATTTGAACTTGCATTCTGTGTGCTCTGAGGCTTTCTTGTAGGCAGTGGATTGCAGTGGGTGATAGCTTCCCTTCATAGGCCTTGTGGCTGAGGACAAAGTTTCCTTGGGAATCTCCCTTTCCATTCCCATGAGGGTTTTGGGACTGGCCTGTATCATGCTTTTTTAGCCTTTAGTTTGATTGCCAAACAGAAAATCAACTATTGGAAGATCTGCCTTGTCAAACAGACAAAGCAGAGGCAGAAGCTTTTTGGAAAGAGGCCTTGGCTTTGCAGGGATCATGAGGATTGGGCAGAATTTAGGCAGAGGATAAACCCCACTATCCAAGAGGATAACTTGAGGAAAGGGAGTTGCACAGGATTTTTCCACTGCTGTAGGAACCTTTGCTGTAATTCAGCTCGTGTTGATTAACCCTGGATGCTGGATTCTTAAAAAGTGATTAGTGAGATCACCCTGGAAATAGAAGCAGATGTGCCATCTGTTACGCAGTGTATGGGGCTTAGAGGGAGGTTTTCCTGAAGCACTGAAAGAAAGGAGGAGATCCCAACACTGAAATGAGATTTCACTCCTGTCACCTCCCTGTTTACCTCCCCAGAAGCTAAACACCCCTGTGAACACGTGAGGTGAGCTGGTGGGATTCGCTGTCAGTGGACTGGAGCTGTAGTCCTGGCCAGTGACTGGGTTGAGAGATGAGCTATGGTGGCACCTCAGCCTTCAGGGAAGACATGGTATAGAACTTGGTGTCAGAGACACTCTCCAAGCACCTGGAATCCCAAAGTGGGAAGTCTGGGTTTCAGTCTGAACTTGTGCTGGTGCTGCCTCAGAGCACCTTTCCCCTCAGTGAAATGTAAACTGGAGGTAGTTTTTTTAAATACTTTGATGGAGTTGTTCCTGTGCTGTATCCCTGCCCCAAAATGCTCTCCCTTCATCGTGTAGTGACTCACTGCAGGTCCCAAGGATTATCAAAAGCACTAAGCAGCTCTGAGACAGCAATTGCAATTATGCTTCTACAGCTGTGATTGTCCACAGCCGTGCTTTCTGTCTTCCTCCAGAGCAACAGAGGAT